CCACTGGTCCTCAGGTCTGTTTCTTTGCCAGTACCATGCTGTTTTTATCACAGTAGCTTTGTAGTATAGTTTCAAGTTGGGGGTTGTGATACCCGTTGACATGTCTCTGATGCCTCGAATTGCTTTTGCTATTCTAGGTCTCTTCTTGTTCCAAATGAATTTTTGGATTGTTTTCTCAACGTCCTTGAAGTATGCTCCTGTGGTTTCAATTGGGATTGCATTGAAACTATATAGCAGTTTTGGAAGTATGGCCATTTTCACTATGTTGACTCTTCCTACCAAGGAGCAGGGAATGTCTTTCCAATTTCTGGTATCATCTTCAATCTCTCTTTTCAGAGTGCTATAGTTTTCAGAGAAGAGGTCTTTGATTTCTTTCATTGATTGCCACGTATTTCAGTTTTTGGATACTATTGTGAAAGGAATTGTTTTCCCTATGTCTTTTTCAGTGAGTCTGTTGTTTGTGTAGAGGAAAGCTATTGATTTTTGTGTGTAGACCTTGTATCCAGCTACTTGACTGAATTTGGTTATTAAGTCTAGAAGACTTTTGGTGGAGTTCTTGGGGTCTTCTATGTACAGTATCATGTTATGTGCAAATAATGACAAGTTGACTTCTTCATTTCCTATTTGTATTCCTTTTATTTTGTTCTCTTGTCTAATTGCCATGGCTAATGTTTCCAAGACTATATTGAATAGGAGCTGTGACAGTGGCCATCCTTGTCTTGTTCCTGATTTTAGTGTGAAGGATTTCAGTTATTGACCATTCAGTATGATATTGGCTGTTGGTTTTTCATAGATGGCTTTTATCAGATTGAGGTAGAGTCCATCTATTCCAATTTTCTGAAGGGTTTTTATCATAAATGAGAGTTGGATTTTGTCAAATGCTTTTTCTGCATCTATGGAGATAATTATATGGTTTTTGTACTTGGCTCTATGTATACAGTGTATTACATTGATTCATTTGGACATGTTGAATCATCTCTGCATCCCTGGGATGAAGCCCACTTGGTCAGCGTTTATGATCTTGATGATCTTCTACATTCTATTTGCCAGTATCTTATTAAGGATTTTTTTGCATCTATGTTCATTAGTGAGATTGGCCTATAGTTCTCTTTTTCAGTTGGGTCTTTCTCCGCTTTGGGGATCACAGTGATGTTTGCTTGCAGAAATGAATTCAGGAGTATTGCTTCCCTTTCAATTTCATTGAAGAGTTTAAACAGTAGTGGCAGTAGTTCCTCACTAAATGTCTTGTAGAATTCAGCAGTGAAGCCATCAGGACCCAGGCTTTTCTTAGTTGATAAGTTTTTAATTACATTTTCAATTTCATTGATTGATATTGGGTCGTTTAGAATTTTAGGTCATCTTTGTTCAATTTTGGCAATTCACACATATTTAGGAATCTGTCTATTTCTTCTATATTTTCCATCTTATTGGAATAGGTTCTTGAAGTAGGTATTGATGATCCTCTGGATTTCTACTGGGTCCATTGTAATTTCACCATTTTCATTCCTAAATTGCATGGATTTGGGCCTTTTCTTTCCTTTTTCTGCTAAGGTTGGCTAAGGCTTTGTCAATTTTATTTATTGTTTCAAAGAACCAAGTCTTGGCTTCATTGATTTTTTTGTATTGTTGTCTTAGTCTCCATTGCATTGATTTCTGCCCTGATCATTATAATTTCCTCCCTTCTATGGGCTTTAGGTTTGTTCCGCTCTTCTTTTTCTAGAAGCTTGAGGTTCAGCATCAGGTTGTTTAATTGGGCTCGCTCTGTTTTCCTAATATAAGTATTAAGTGCTATGAATTTCCCTCATAAGACTGCTTTCATTGTGTCCCATATATTACAATACTTTGTATTTTAAAGAAATTTTCTTTTCCTGGTCACTAATTGCAATCTTATCTTTTATATGTGAAATTCTGTCCTCATATTTGCTCATTCAGCTGTGTAGACTGTCAATGGAGGTTTTAATCTCCTGGAAATCTGCATCTGTTTCATGGATTCCATTTGTTTCCTATGT